TGCGCTTGATTACTTGATGTTCTCATGTACAGGCCCTCGTAAGACATCGCCCTTTCGTTCAGTAAGCGGTGCCTACTTGTATCGCAGCACCCCAACCTACGACTCTGCCCGGTCCGTCTTGCAACGGCGAGCGCGTTAGCGTCAACTCACGGGGCGTAGGTCTTTCTGAGTCAGTCTTTAAAACCTCGAATACTGACACTGCTCCTACAGGTTGTACGGCCCGTTCTTGTGCTTCGGGATCCGCGAAATATCCTCACGGTACGCATTGCAGTCTGCAGGTGTCTACATACACAGGTACTTATGTGCATAACTCGTCTAGGGTACAAGTCACGCGCATCGTGCACTAAGTATACGGCCGCTCCGGGGACAGCTTTTTGTCTGACGCTCACATTCACTGCGAAAGCGCTGCCCTCTGGATGCCGTTGTATTTTATCTACGAGTTTTGTACCTATTGTAGTTTTGTGAATATATAAATTGCTATCCTAATTTTTTATGTGCGAGCTCGCCCCCAAAAATCCGATTATTGAATAAATCTTGCGAGCTCTCTGGCAAATGCCACCCAGCCTGGCGCTCCCTGGTAATGCATTGCCAACCTTAACTGAATGATAAAGGTCCCCAGGCTGGTAAGCCTTAGAAATCATACAGGTGCTCTATCTACTATGGCAATAGCAATCTCAGGGTGGGTTGACTTATATTCATGGGTGCCTCTATCTAGCTTGGCCAGATTAGATCATTGGGTAATTTTTTTGCTGATGAAGTATGCACGCGTATTGCCCGAGACCTTTGCGAGGCCTCCAGGCCATTGTGTCATGGAGTAATATTGGCAGGCAGCTTCAGCTGCGGACCCACAGGACAGAATACGACCGACATGTGAGCACCAGAGAAAGTGTCGAGGCTCAGATAACTTTAATTTGCTGCAAGCGGTGCCACTACGCGCGGGACCTCAGTAACCTCACTACTCTTGGGCGCCAATATAACCCTAACCCTCTTCAGGCGCTGGATGTCGGTCTGGCGCTCGATCGAGGCTCTTAGCATAACCACTATCTACCTTGAACACTCTGCGTACTTTTCCCTGAATATACTTACTCTGCAGGACGTTGATTGTTGTGTAAGTGTAAATTCGGGTCGTGGAAGCGTGTTATGATGTGCTGGAATTACGTGGCTGCCGCAAGGCTGCTGCGTTTCCGTCTTTGAAGACCGCATCTCTGATCCACACAGCAAACGTGCGACAAGCCTAGTACGCCTTATAAAGGCGGAAGGGGCGGAGTATTTGCTGCCCGAGATTTTACCGGCATGAGCAGACGCATACAAGGTGTATCCAATGCTCAGTATGTCCCCAGCAGGGCGCACCGAGCCTACTACTGACTACACCTCCCATCAGGTACGGTCAAGGAGCAATTGCGCAGGCCGCACACGATGAACACCTTGTATGGGTGGATCAAAGTGGCACCTCAAATGTCTCCAACGTCAAGTATGCAAACCATACACCAGCTGCGGGCTTTCAGTGCAAGCAGTGTCACAGCCGATTCATAAGCCAGGAGATGACCGTGTTGCATGAGCAAATGGAACATGCGAAAACTCTCCTGCGTTATCGCAGTATCGGTGTGCGTGACAATCCAATCATCGTTCACGGAAAGCCCTCACACACCGCGTACGCGCCTTCAAGCCTGCAGTCAAGCGTCCCGGCGGACCCCGGTTACAAGGCCTTAGATCGTTTTGTATATACAAGGTGTGTCTATTCAGTGCTCATAACAGTGATACAGAATCACAAATAAACGCTATAGCAAACTGCGGCGGTCCTCGCAAATGACATCTACGAAGCATTGATACGAAATGAAGCCAAGCACATTGCTCATTCTGCGTACGTCGTGAACTGAACCGATCGCACGTCAATAATGACCACGCAAATGTACCACAGATACGACTCGCTTTTAGAGCTGGATTTTCTATGCAGATCGACCCCAAGCCGCGTCGCTTTGCTTGCCAAAGCCTTGCCGCAACGCTCAAGGTTGATAGAAGTACGTGCCTCGGTGCACTAGTTAAGCTCCGCTGAATCCCATTCTAGGCCTCTTCCGGGCTGCCTTGCCGTCAAGGCTCATTGTGGGAAGCCCTTGAAATCGACGACCGTTCCTTGGTAGCCATGCTTGAGGAAGCTATATTCCGCGAAAAGGGGGAGGTAATGGAATTGCGCAACGACGCTGCGGCTTCGTTCCTAACCCTGGTTGATTCGGTGCGCATCATCACGCGGAAAATCCATCCCTGGACTCAACTTGTGTCGTTCAGGTCCTATATACAAGCCTGTTTGGGCAAGGCATATTTTTGCAACAAGCAGGATCTCAGGGGCCGGATGCGAAACCAGATGCTTTCAAAGACCAACTTCACCGCATAAGCGTCAGACTCTCGATGGTCTCCTTTCAGCTTCCAGAGAGCTTGTTCCTCACAGGCGTCATTATCCAAAATCCGAAGCAGGTTGCTGCTGGAGGATATGCCGACATTCACATGGGGCAATACCGGGGGCGTCTTGTGGCATTAAAGACGATGCGCGTCTTCACGCAGCAAACGCCCAAAGAGATTTCCAAGAGCTTGAAGGTCGTCATCAGTTGTTGCAACTCTTCATATCCCGTCGCTGATAATCATTTCCACAGACAATTTGCCGTGAAGTCACTCTCTTACATAGCCTCAAGCATCCGAACATCTGCGAACTCATAGGTGTTGACCGTGAACTCTTTGGAGGGCGCTTTTGTCTTGTGACAGATTGGATGCCGTATGGGAACATCATGGACTTTGTTGGAGCCAACTCGTTTGTCTTTGACGAGGTCAAACAATTTGTGAGTGCGTCGATACTTGTTTAAAGGTGTACGGCATGTGACCAGTGCGCAGGTGGTGGAGATAGCCTCCGCTCTGGAGTATCTACATAGCAAGAATGTAGTACACGGAGATCTACATGTGGTTTGTCCACTTCTTCTCTTTGCGAAGCCTTGACGAATGCTGTCCTAGAAAAATATTCTTATTGATGCTGGCCGCCATGTTCGCCTCGCAGACTTCGGACTATCAGATTTTTCCGACGCCTCTTCGGCCAGTGTCAGCTCTGGGCCCACCGGTGCAGTTCGGTATATGGCGCCGGAAATTTTGTTCCCTGAGAATTATGGCCTACGGCATCTTCGCCATACTCCCGAGAGCGATGTCTACTCATTCTCAATGTGTGTATGGGCGGTGCGTATAGCCATATTCTAGATAGATCTCTAACTAACCATACTTCTCATTCAGGTGTTCAGCCGGGATTCCCCCTTTCATGACTACTCCATAGTCATAGCCACGTTAGCCATCATTAGTGGCAAGCGCCCTCCGCGAGACACGGCCAATCATGAGATCCCGGAAGTATTGTGGTGTCTACTCACTTTATGCTGGAAGGAGCAGCCGAAAGACAGGCCCATCTCTTCCGACCTCCACGGTAGGCTTTGCCTCATGTTCCAGCCTCCTTCCCCATCGGATACCGACTTGGAGACCCCGACCATCGGCAGCAGGTTACCCGCCACTGTGCTTTCCCTTCGCACGCCTGACAGCTCCGGTGACAAATTAATGACCAGCGATCAGCTGGAGAGTGCCAAAAGCAAACCGAGCACGTTTGTTAACGTACGACCCTCATTGCTACCGTCTCTCTCCCTCTGGTCCAAGCGCCCACGATCTCCGCCCGTCTCGAAGGTCCTCAGGTACTCCCCGTTGTCATCCATAGCACGGAGCTCTGTGGATCAACACGGCACCAATCCGGTCGCCTTCACCTCCTTGCCAGGTTCCCCACCGCCAACAGTGCGCAACCTGGCAAGCGTCTTTCCCGGCGCAGAGCGGCTTATCCCGCAGATTATATACCGGCCCACTCAAACAGAGCAGCCAGACGAAGATGATGCCGTATCGGGACCTCCAATCATGTTCTACGTCCGTGGTCCTCAGGGCTGCGGGATCAACTGCTCAGATGCACTCGACGAACAGTTCGCCGAGCTGCAAGGCCCAAATGATGTAATCCAGTGTCCTCCGGCTGTAGTCCTGCGAGTACTGGTACGTGCTCTCGTATTCACATTTTGTCTTCTGTTTTGATGCTCATGCGGACGCTACCTCCGCCCAGTGGCCCGATCATGAGCCGTGGTCGGCCTCGGTCCATCTTAACCCGTCCCCAACGCGGGCGCAGTTGGCGAAGCTTGTAAGCTTCCACGCGCAGACGTTTGTCGCCGTAAGTCTACCATTACGGTGTGCCATTGCACTTAGTGCTGAACCCTGTGGGTTGATTTGTAGGAAACATGGGCGAAACCTGTAACGACGGACACGCGCTGGAAGCTCGGGCCCGGCGCCCTCACCGTGCCCGACCTCGAGCTGGTCGGGTTGCAGCCTGTGACCTCGCAAGACTGGCAGGTCCACTTCCGTGTGCAACAGGTGACGGGATAGCCGACAGTCCCGACTGCACAGGTTCCCGCTCGGAATTTTCGTGTTGTCTAGGTATTTTTATCTTTATTATACACGCGTCATGACGACGTTGGTTACGGCTGCCGCCAACCCAGTTGAAGTCACTTGCAAAGGCCTTCTTACGCGTAAAACTTCCTAGTTGTATAATCGCGTTTAAGTTGGAAGGATATGTGCACAGGTTGAATGAACGATATACGTACACAGACTCGGCGGTGTACCGGGCATCCTGGAAGGCCTGGAGATGAAGGAGTGCGTCAGCATTTTCAGATGGACGTGCGTGCGTTCTGGAACGTGCTAGACGTCGAATTTCTGACGCGGGACTACTCAAGGAGCGCGAGGTGCGCGTGCTGTAGCTGCTGTACGTCAATGCAAACGATTTTGTCTGGGTCTGAATCGAGAGGCATCTCCCGCCGCAGCGAGGTTTCGGACTAACGAAGCGCTGCTCGTCCCGGCGGTTCAGCGCGCGGGAGAGAATTATCGCTCGTCTTGGGTGAACATGCCGTTGATGTAACCTTTGGACGCTTGATAAAGGAGAACGAGCTACTCGTGATGAATTCCGCGCGGTTCAGCCGTCGGATATTTTGAGTTGCCATGCAAGCACCAATCTTTCGGCTGCGGTTTCTGCTATCTACAAACTTGCTGGGTGTGACGGCTGCCAACAACTGAGTTCTCCATCGGAAGGAATAACGAGGAACGTTCTGACCCTAACCCCATTTGAAGCGCTGGAATGTTATGCGCATCCTCGTGCACCGACACCCGTCTCGTTCTTTCTGCACGACCACCATCTCGTATGTGGCCTAGATGGCCATTTTCCACGAATCATCGTTACCCGATACCCAAACGTTGCGTAATACTGAGTACACGAGTCCGATGGGTCCGCTGTGGTGCGGACACGTTTCCCTGTTGGAAAGCTTCGCCATCCGTCGCGCGCATTGTACACACGAGGCAGACCAAATACGCCTTTATAAACACGGCCGTGGCGAACTCCCCTTTAATTGTACCGGCATGAGCAGACCCGCGCCCCTGGCCTAACTTCCGGTGAGTAGCATGCACGCCATCATAGAGACTGAATCCATTGTTGATCCTCCTCTGCGCTTCCCCTAGTAGGCACGCTATGGCTCACGCAAAACGTGACGAGAATGTTAGCCCGGAAGATCGACACTTCGTCCCCTACGTCAGCGGCGTGGGGCATCAAGATCTTGAGACGACGACAAATTTTCAGTGCAGGAGGTGCCATAACCAATTCACGAGCCAAGAAATGGCAACACTACACGATCAGATGGAGCACACGAAAGAAACTACACGTCACCACAGTATTAGAGTGCGTGATAACCCCGCTACTGTTACCATCAAATCTTCATACACCGTCCAGTTTCAGGCCCTGAGTAAGCTTCCCAGCGAGCCTGTAATAAGCCCAGGGTCATGCAATATCTACGAGGTACGTGTTTAATCTAGCACTTTTTTAGATGACAAGATTGACGGGTAGACTATGCAGCGAACCGCAGCACTTATCGCCAATGATATCTGTGGGTTATTAAAGACGGACGAGGACGTGCACGCCGCCCGCTCTGCGTACGTCATGGCTTGAACCGGTCAATTACCTCATATTGACTCCGTACAGCTACGAGTCGCTTCTAGAGCTAGAGCATCTGTGTCAATCGACTTCAAGTTGTGCCGCTTTGCTGGCCAAAGCGATACCACACCGTTCAAGACTGGTTGAAGTACGTTTCTACACGCAATGCATTGGTTGTATCGTATTAACACTGCCACTCAGCTTTCATCTAAGCTACCATGTCGTCAGGGGCCCCTCTGGATGGCCCTCGAGAGCGACGATCGCTCCGTCCTTAGGATGCTTCAACAGGCCGTGTACGCAGAGAAAGAAGAGATCATGGGATTGCGTGAGGACAATGCGACTTCCTTCCTGACCCTCGTTGATTCGGTAATTACCATTTTCACACACTTCTCTGCCGTCGAACTCACTCCCAGTGTGATAGATTTTGTATCCCAGTGGTCCTGGCCAGGATCTCGGGTTCTCCCAGCTGCTAACCCCTGCATTGGATCCAGGCGTACGGACTTTCAAAGATCAGCTGCAACGAGCCAGCGTTAGGCTGTCCATGGCTTCTTTCCGACTCCCGGAGGGCCTGTATCTCACTGGCGTCTCCCTGATGGACTCAGAGCACATTGCTACTGGAGCATACGCTGACGTCCGGATGGGCCGATATCGCGAGCGCCGCGTAGCACTGAAAACGATGCGGGTTTTCAGTCGGCAGACACCTGACGAGCTGTCCAAGAGTCGTAAGGTAATGTCCAGGATGAGTATTTTTCGTGGGCCACTATTAATCCGTCGATCCAGACATTCTGTCGCGAGATCTCGCTGTTGCACAGCCTTGACCATCAAAACATCTGCGGACTGATAGGCGTTGACCGCGAACTATTCGGAGGACGCTTCTGTCTAGTAACGGAGTGGATGCCACATGGGAACATCATAGACTTCATCGAAGCCAACTCTTTTGTTCTCGGCGAAGTCAAGCAATTCGTGCGTGTATGATACTTATCGCAAGGTGAACGACCCTTGACCAAGACACAGGTGATAGAGATAGCCCTGGCGTTGGAGTACCTGCATAGCAAGAATGTGGTCCATGGAGACCTGCATGTGGTTCGTTCGCATCTTCTATCTATGACGTCGTTTTAATCTTGTTCTAGAGAAACATCCTTATCGACGCCGGCCGTCACGTCCGCCTTGCGGACTTCGGACTATCAGATTTCTCCGACGCGTCTTCTGCCAGTGTCAGTTCTGCGTCTGCTGGTGCGGTTCGATATATGGCGCCCGAGATCCTGCACCCGGAGAAGTACGGCTTGGAGCACGTACGACACACTCCAGAAAGTGACATTCACTCGTTTGCGATGTGCGTGTGGACGGTGAGCACAGTCCTTCTTTGGATGGCTTTCAGTTGATCATGAGAGTTAGATCTTCGACGGCAATGTCCCCTTCCATGACTATTCACCAGTCAGGGCCACATTGGCCATTATCGAAGGCAAGCGCCCCTTACAACACACAACTATGCACTATCTCCCAGTTCCTTTGTGGTCTCTACTTTGCCTCTGCTGGCAAGAGCAACCGAGAGACAGGCCCAGCTCTCCAGACCTATACCTTCGCCTTCGGCGCATGTTTCAGCCCCCCGCTTCCGCCCCGTTGAGACCCCGCTCTAGAACAAAAGGCTTCAGCGGCAGGAGATCGGGTCCAGCATCTCGTTTGCGCGAGGATGATTCTGGTAACGAGTCGACCGCCAGCAGCCGCTATGAGAACGACGACGGTGGACTGAGCCCGCGGTCAACACTGCGGCGGAGCCGTGGCGTGCAGTCCGCCAGATGCACGCCTGTCACGAAGTCCAAGTTGATGAACACTCCGATACCGAGCCCTGTTGAGCGTCCGCGCACCAGTCCAGCAGTCATACAAAACTCGACGCCGCCAACCGTCCGCAACCTGGCGAGCGTCTACACTGGTGTCGAGCGTCTTGTCCCCCAGATTATATATCGACCCCCGCAGGCTCAGCAGCTGGCCGGCACGAACGCGTCGCCCATCATGTTCAACGTCTTGGGTCCACGCGGTTGTGGTATCAGCTGTCTCGATGCGCTCAATGAACAGTTTGCGGAGTTGCAAGATTCGGACGACATCATTGAGTGCCAGAGGTGCGTGGTCCTGAGGATTATGGTACGCGCTCATCCAAGTTTGAGATTTGCGGGTTGCAATGCTTACGAGGACACAATGCGTATAGTGGCCTGATTACGAGCCTTGGTCGGTCCCCATCCTTCTTCACTCCACCACCACTCGGGCAGAGTTAGCTATGCGTGTCAGTTCCTACACGCAGACTTTCCTAGACGTATGTTTCTCTCTATCTAGATCCTCCGCGCTCCTGTTGACGCAATCTACAGGAATCACTGGCGAAATGTCTGAGACCTGACACTCGCTGGAGACTGGGGCCCGGCGCCATCACGCTGTCCGACCTCGAACTGGTCGGTCTACAGCCTGTGGCTGTGCGAGACTGGCAGGTCCACTTCCGGGTGCGTCAAACGGCACCTCTTACCACCTAGGCTGCGTGAAACTTCGTTCGAAAATATTTTATTTTAGTATCTTTATTGTTATCATACGCCATTTATTTCTACGGTCGTTGCCACAGCAGCTTATGCACTTCGCTTGAGATTTTGTGCGCACGGAGCCATACAGTCACCACATAGCTATTCTCCATCTGAAATCAATTTTCACACGCAAAATAAGAGGCTGTGGGATAGGAGCGAGGCTTTTCCCCAGCTAGCTGGAAGCTCGTTGAGGGAACCGCAGAGAAATAGATAGTTAAAACACTTTGAAATTTATCCCGCTTTAGTGCCCAATTTAGCTTTGCACAGTCAACGGAAAAATCAACACTTTTCCTATCGGTTCAGAGCCTACCGCTCCACTCCCTATCCATACAGAGGATTCAAATGCTACCATACTTGGTTTCGCGTGTACTTACAAGAGTTGCGCGTTAGCGTTTCCATCATTTGCACACATTGCAAACACGAGGCAAACCGAGCATGCCTTTATAAATATGGACTCCGCCTCACCTGTAGTGGCATGAGCAGACCTGTAGCGGGCGTGTAGCTCCCGGTGAGCGTTGTGCCGTCGCAACAAGCTTGAGCCTACTGCTGCAGTGCTGACCAATCCCCTACGGCTCAAGAGCCATGGCACAGGCGGTAAACGACGAAGGTCACAATCAGAAGGACCAATACCTCGCTCCCCGCAACGTTAGCGCATGGTATCAAGATCAAGAGACAGCCACGAGCTTCCACTGCAGAGGGTGTCAAGGGCGATTCATGAGCCCAGAGATGGCAGCGCTGCATGCTCAGATGGAGCACCAGAGTATGTTTGCAAGCTACTACGATGCTCAGGTACGTGATCAACAAATCGTCCTTTGGCGCGTTCTTTCATACATCTCGGTCTTCCAGTTCCTAATCGAGTTTCTCATTGAGCCCGTAAGGAGCCCGCGATCATGGTGTATCTACGAGGTATGCACCTGGTACCCAATGCGCAACTAGATAACCAGGATCATAAGTGGACTATGCAGCGAACTGCGGCGCTTGTTGCGAATGACATGTCCGATTTGTTAAGGCGGAACGAACGCATGGACATTGTCCATTCTGCGTATGTCAGGGGTTGAATCGTCAACGTCGGTAACAGCTACTCACATCCTCACAGATATGACTCACTTCTAGAGCTGGAGCTCTTATGTGGATCTGCCTCAGGCCGGGTCGCTCTGTTAACCGGTGCGATACCACAGCGTGCAAGGCTAGTGGAGGTAAGACGTGCCCAGGGGCGCAGATCGGACACAGCTGAAGGTTAGATCCAGCTCTCTTCCGGGCTGCCATGCCGTCGAGGTCCATTGTGGGAAGCCCTCAAAATTGACGACCACTCTATTCTCGCAATGCTTCATCTAGCTGTGTCTTGCGACCAAGACGAGATCATGGGGTTACGTGAGGACGGTGCGGCTTTCTTCCTAACCCTCGCTGATTCGGTACGTGTCGTTCCCGCGAACGTCTCCTCCTGTGTGTTCATTCACGACAGGTCTTGTATCCCCGTGAATACGGGCATTACCTCGGGTTATTCAATTCGCAAGTTCCCGCACTAGAAGCGGACTCGGAAGATTTTAGATATCATCTGCGACGCACTAGCGTTAGACTGTCTATGGCTTCGTATCAGCTTCCGGAGAGCTTGTACCTCTCAGGCGTCACTCTAGTGAACCGAGAGCAAGTTGCCGCCGGAGCATACGCCGAAATCCGCATGGGTCGATATCGCGAGCGCCTCGTGGCACTGAAGACGATGCGTGTCTACAGTCGGCAGAGGCCTAACGAGCTATCCAAGGTTCGGAAGGTGGGATTTGACGTGAGCACTTGTTTATTCCGTCATTAATTGTTCAGCGTAGGCATTCTGCCGCGAGATCTCGCTGCTGCACGGCCTCGACCACGACAACATATGCGGGCTGATAGGCATCGATCGCGAATTATTCGGAGGACAGCTCTGTCTGGTTACAGAATGGATGTCGCACGGAAGCATTGAGGATTTTATTGAAAGCAACTCGTTCGACCTCGCTGAGGCCGAACAATTCGTACGTGCATCATTGTCCGTCAGAAGTGAATGACATGTGACATTGAAGGCGCAGGTGATGGGGATAGCCCTGGCGTTAGAATACTTGCATAGCAAAAATGTGGTCCATGGAGACTTACATGTGGTTCGTCCGTATCTTCTATCTATGGCGCCACTTTAAGTCTTTTTAGAGGAACATCCTGATTGACGCCGACCGTCATGTCCGCCTTGCAGACTTCGGACTGTCAGATTTCTCCGACGCATCTTCTACTAGTGTCAGCTCTGCAGTCGCTGGTGCAACCCGATTTATGGCGCCGGAAATCTTAGACCCAGAGAAGTACGGTCTGCCGCACGTGCGACACACTCCTAAAAGTGACATTCATTCATTCGCGATGTGCGTATGGACAGTGAGTACTGTGCTGTTCTGGATCTAATTTCAGCTGATCGTATGTCCCTGAAACAGATTTTCGATTGCAAGGCTCCCTTCCGTGATTTTCCAATCCCCAAGGCTTTGAACGCCATTATCGGAGGCGAGCGCCCCTTGCAGGATACGGCCCGACACCGAGTCCCGACACCGTTGTGGTCTCTGCTAGAGCTCTGCTGGCAAGAGCAGCCAAGGGATAGGCCCAGCTCGTCAGATCTCTGTTTGCGCCTTCGGTGCATGCTCCAGCCTTTTACTCCTGTCCCGTTGAAAGCCTCTGTGCCGGACATGGAGACACAAGTCATGGGGCGTGGCTTTTCAGGTCACCGCGGCGTCGGGGTGCGTGGTAAAGCAATCGGCGTTCGTAATAAACTCACGTATCGTGGTCTTCCAGTTCCTGGCCAGCCCTCTTGGTGAGCTTTTGGAGGCTCCCGGATCGTGGTGCATTCATGAGGTGCGTATCTCTTCTATGTTCATCTAGACGTTCAACTGTCAGTGGCGCTGATGACGAGAGCCTTTAGCAACGGGAGAGGGAGCCCGGTACCTTGGAAGTCATGGGCTTGGCTAAGCTTGGACAGCGCCAAGGCATCGTTGACGACCCTACAGATCCCGGTCCTACTTCGAGTTTTGTGCCGCGCGGTGCCCATGAGAGAGTCGAGGAAGATGGACGTGAACGCGAGCGAAAGCGCAAAGGGAAGGGAGTACAAAGGTTCCGTCAGAACTCGTACGCGTTCGAGGCACCCCACCTTATCCCTGTGCCAATGGTTCACCAAGGTGCAAACCCGTTACTGAGTGCCGAGAGTGGCGTTCCTAGCGGTCCTACCCGCAAACTACCTATGCAGTCATCGATGCAACGCCTCACCCCACAAGACGGAGTATCCACTTTTACGGGTCCGTGGGACCCCCTTTGTGACATTAGCGCTAGCGCTACACTGAATAAGATGGCGATTTCATCGCATGCACATCAGCCTCTGCTGAGCAGCAAGTTTCGCCAACCGGTCAGGATGGCACCGATAGCCCGCTGCCAGGCCTAGCTTCCGCGTCCGGCAGCACGAATTTGAGTGCATCCTTTTCGCCGGACCCAACCCCATCGTCTCTATCGGGATCTACCGCGCCATCCCAGCCGTTTAGTCTCCACCCTGGCTTCCCAGGCAGCGAAGACTTGTCACTCGGCGCGAACTCGTTGCTACCGAACCCGAGTGCTTCGAACGTCAGTAGCGTGTTGCGACTCGACGAGGAAGAGCTCGCACGATCGTCAGGTGCACTGGCGGTTAGCACGGAGTCGCAGCAGCAAGGCACGATTTCTACCCAGCTGCCTTCCCCGTCGTCTGGTACGATCCCGAGCTCGAGTACAGGCCGAGACTCTGGTGATCAGCACCCACCGGTATGTCGCTGTCTTGTTATGTTGCACTGTAGCTTACAACGCGCCCTCCAGATCAACATCTTATACGTGGGCAACCTTCCCGCGATTACTTCACCTGGCGCTTCCTCCGCGAAGTTGGAAGAGCGTCTGCGAGAGCTGTTCCAGAAGCAATCTGGTTACCGTCGGCTTTACCTCCGTCACAAGATGAATGGCTACATGTGCCTCGTGGAGGTACGTAGCTACCCTTGTCTCTTCATGGGTCGACACTAACACGCATGTTGTAGTTTGACGGCGTGGCCTATGCTATGAAGGCGCTCAATGACCTCAACGGGGACAACCTTGGAGGTCTTATCAAGGGTAGAGGCATTCAGCTCTCATACGCCAATGACGCCCTTATCACCGCACTCCGACGAGCGGCGACGATACCACGAAAAGGTGCTGGCCGGCCGGGGAGTTTAAACTCTATACCCAATGTGAGTGCACTTGTACCACATCACGTGTCGCGCGCTGAACCGCGCCAATCTCTTCGACACCAGTTTTTTGCCAACCCATCCGCCCTGTCGGAGGAACGGAACTCTCTATTGGTAGAAGCGATAGTTGGTAATGACAAGGTGGGTAAAGCTCATACGCATTCCTGACGGAACTTAATAAGTATGCATGTTTTTGTAGGTCAACACTGATGGCATTATGGCAGGGCCTAGCATCCGCAAGAATACTTGGCCACTCACTCACAGCCACTACGCCGCTATGGACCGTTTTGTTTTCGATCCCTCATCGACCCCCGTCTTCGGTACAGGTAAAAACACGGCTCGTCCTTACTCTACGCATGTTATTCTTCCTCAGAGAGCATGCTCCTGACCTCATTCCCGACATCCCGAAGGATGACATCAAGTCCGGCGGGCTCGCGAAAGCGCCGCGTGTTCTCTCTTATGTTGCACGCCCCACTGCATCAACAGAAAGATTTCTCGCGTGAGATATTGTCCAAAATACTAGGAAGACACGATGTATGTCGGCCGCAGATATGGCGGAGGTTGTATCTTGCATATGTGACGCAAGATAGTGCATGAATCAGGAGTTTATTGGGTAAAGCCGTGCGACAGACATGTCAGATAGTCTGTCCAGCATATATTGGATACGTGCCATATCAGCACCTCACATATGTCAATATACGATACGACGATATTCTCCAACCAATGAGGGAGCATGCCGCCATCATTTTCCATTCCAGGTTCACGTGCCCGCGCCGCGTCGGCGTCGGGCTATCTCATAATAGTGCGATACCCATTCCTCGAAGGCTGCGCCTCTTTCATATGAACGCGCAACCACCGCCGTGATTATCTGCTCTTTATGCTCTGATTGCGGCAGAATGGGACCAATACGATGAAGCTGCCAGAGGCTATGTCGCTGACGTTTTTTGTCAGCCGCGAACGCTTTGTAGAGGCCACTGTAGAGGAATGCTTAGAAGACGCGAACTACGCAATGCATGTCATGCCTCGGACATAAATCTGTTGGGACAAAGCCCGAGGTGCACCTCCCGCCAAGTTATTCCTTGGCCGCCGCGGAGGCGTTAGTAGCCCCTCTGCAGGAGCCACCACCTCTACGATCTCCAATAGACTCGCGACGTGATCGCACGTTCGTATCGCGTATAGGGGTGTGCAGCAATGAGTAACGGCACGCGCTGAAACATATGTCACAATCATAGACTCTGAAGCCGCCGGTGGAGCGAGTCTCACCCATTGTAGAGATGCGGCTGCTGTGGAGGGGCGACACGTTTCACTGGGTGCTGGCCAGTCTGGCAGCCAAACATCGGGAAAGGGCTCGCTTTCCCTACCCGAGACAGATTTTAACTTAACCTGGTCTAAGGTGCTGTTCGAGTGCTGTTCGTCACCGGGACACGTTAGACGTCGGTCATCAAAGGGGGCGGGTATGGCGCGTTTCGGGCTTTGCCGCGCCACGAAGTTGATGCGCCCTGCCTTTACAGGACTCCAGAGAGCAGTTCTGCATGGCTCCCCGCATATCTCGACACGAAAACAGTCCACTCATGTCGTCTCCTATGCGATGTGTAGAAAACCGGTGTCAGGCCTGACGTGCGCGACCAGGCAGACCGAAGCGGCATCTGTCTTCGGGCAGTGTCTGCCAGGCTATTCAAGTACCGCACTCGTCCACGGTCGTACGCGCGCGCCGAAGGACCAGGCTACCGTTACACAACCGCTGTGGCATGATAGAAGCCTCTCAAGCTTCGACTGAATACCTGTCGTCTGCTGGGGGAAGACGGCTCCTCTGAGGTCGCACATTTAGTCTGTGGCTGGGTCATCAATGTACCTTCACATTCTGGTGCATGTGACGCGCGTACTGCTTGGAAAGCTTACCTTGTTCATCGTGCTCACATGCAACCGATAGATGATGTATTCCACAACTTGGTTGAATCAACCAGATTGTTGGACACATTATCTTAATGGTTGCATAACGGGCTGTTTCTCAGCTATCGTCTGACCAAGAATGAACGAACCGAGTCGTATCAAAGCGGCATCTAGGAGTGGGCCTTTCGATGTCGTCATTCCTTTGCAGTGAAGTTAGCAACAAACCAGCATTCTTCAAATTCGCACCTGACGTATACCTCCTGGACGTGCCCTAACGGCTATCATCTTCAGGCGGGTAAAGTAGGAACTCAGTTCCGGGAGAGCGCTAAGGAAGAAATGAGACATCAGAGTAAGAGAAGCACTGATATGAACATACTTAGCTGTGGCGAAGGACGCGAATCGTTATGCGTCGGGCGCGACTTTCGCGCGCTGACGCAAAGTAAACATAGACGTGCACGCGAAGAATCGGTGGTCAAGGGGACAACACAGAAACACCGCGTCCCTCGCAGTCCTCTGCAAGCCCGAGCGGGACCGGACCGTAATCGAGGGAAAGCTGTGTCGCTCGAGGCCACATTCGCAAAGCGAGGGTCGTGTAAGCGTGCAGTTTCCTGTGTCTGAGCTGAGTGTTCGTCTGAGACATACGCGAGACGCGTTCGTCCCCTATGGCGCCGCGCCACTAAAATGAGCTGACCCTGAGTGAATTTGACGTCGACCGTGTGGGCATGGAAGTGTGTGTGTATGCGCGCACGAATAATTCCCAGAATACCCCGGTTGGCCTGACCCACGGCGACAGGCGGGCACGGACGAGACTGCGACGGAGAGGGGGGGATCGACGGGTGAAGTAAGCGTTGGTAGCATCACAAAAGCACGTACGGTGGACGAGCAGCACACACCATAATCACAACGCCTATTCCTGGTCAACTCTGAGCTAGCCACATCGAGTGCCGGCGCGCGACGAGCCCGGCCCCTATGTAGCGCGACGGAAGAAGAACAAGGGCCGGATGATCGAGACATTCTAGGAGGAACGTTCGAGTCGATGGTGGAGCGCAACCGTATTTGCGATAAGGGGAGAACGCCGTCGTGAGACCGGAGGTGGGCCGCCCTATTGTGCTGCTTGCTCGTTTGCATTTGGGAGGGCAGATGCCTAATTTGCGACACGGTCGGATCCGACTGAGCTGACGTCGCTCGGC